GGGGTTCCCAAGTTCTAGTCCAGCCTAGGCACCTTTGTGACTTACTGTGAAGCTGTCTCAAAAAAAAAAGAAGGAAAGTAAAGAATGTAGGGGGGTGTAGCCTGGATTCAGTCTCTAGTATCAGAAAAAAGGAAAAAGTAAACAGGGGCTGAATGGCCACTATTTTGCCTGCAGGCATCTTACGAGTATTAACTCTTTCAGAAACATATATACATCTTCTTTTTTTGTTTGTTTGTTTGTTTTTTGTTTTTTCATTTTTATCAGTACCAGGGATCGGACTCACAACCGCCTGCGTGCAAGGCAGGTGCTTATGCCGCTGAGCTAAATCCCCAGCCCCTATACATCTTCTTTTTAATCCACCATTTTTTTTTTGTTTTGTTTTGTTTTTTCCTGGCGGTAACGGATTGAACTCACAACCTCACACTTGCCAGGCGGGTGCGTATGCCCCAGCCCACATCTTCTTTTTGTTTGCTTATTTGTTTTCCTCTTTGTTTTTCTTTGAGACAAGGTCTCCCTACACAGCCCAGGCTGGCTTCAAACTCACTATGATCCTTCTGAGTACTTGAATTAAAAACCATGCACCACCAGCCCAGCGGGAGGATTTTGAATTCAAGGTTAGCCTAGACTCTATCTCTGGCTATTCCTATTTTTACATTGTAGGCACTGGACCTAACTGAATTTTGGAAACACTTAAACATTTTTAATTAAAAAAAATAAAAATTTTTAATTGACACATAACAGTGCCCATATGAGCGTGCTGTGGTATTTCACTACTTGGATACAGTGTACAATGATCTGACCAGGTCAGGGGCATTGTGAAGCCACCATCTCAGTCTTTGTGATTTCTTTTGGGTGGTGGGAATTCGATAGGAAAGAAGAAGGAAATACAGGTAGAAAAAAGACAATAAAATCAAGGTTTTCTTTGCCATGCATGCCGGTACAGGCCCGAAATCCCAGCACTCAGGAGGCTGAGGTAGGGTGGAGTGGGGGTCGCAGTGAATTCAAGGCCAGCCTGAACTGCATAGTGAGACCCTGTTTCAAAAACAAACAAAAGGGTTGGGGATTTAGCTCAGCAGCATAAGCGCCTAATTTGCTACCAGGCAGTTGTGAGATCCCCGGTGCTGGTAAAAAAGAAACAACAACAACAAAAAATTGTATTTTTAGACTGGGTGCGGTGGCGCACTTCTGGGACCTTAGACTCACTGCCAAGCTTCTCTGCGGTCCTGAGGACAAGTGGAACCTATGAGCCAAAGCTGGGCCACAGGGTTAAAGCTGCAGGATAGGCGGCAGGAATTTCAGCCGCCCTGGGGATGCAGCTGCTGGGGGTGGGGGTGGGGCGCCAGCCCAGGGCGACCCCACGCACGGTCTCTCTTCTCTGAACCCGCTGCTGTGCAGATTCAGTCCTGAGGATTCTTCAGTGGTGGAGTCAGCGGGCCTGGAGCCTGCGGGGTTAGGGAGGAACAGCAGAGGGAGTGAGACGGGCCTGGGACCGAGGGACAGAGAGGAAGAGACTGTCCTGCAAACGCAGGGGTTGGCGGCCAGGCCTCAAGACAATGAAAGTGATACAGGGGAAGGAAACCCGAGATCCGGTCTGAGTTCCTGTTCTCTAAAATCGAAGAATGAATTTTAGGAACAACGGAGGTTAGGAGCAGAAATATTTATTGAGAGACAGAAGGGGTCCCGAGCGGGTTGCCAAAGACTCAGCCTTTTCCAGGGAATTTTATACAGTAAAACCACAAAGTGAGATCGGTCCAAGCTGGGGAAAATGGGAACTCAAGCAGGCGGGCATAAGGTGGAATAGAACTATGGTTAACCAATAAGATTAACTGTTAAGGTAAAATTAAGCAAATCAGGGACAAATAGGGAAGCCAATCACATAGCAGGGCGCAGGCTTGGAGAGCAGTAACTCTTCCTGTAGGGGGATGGGATGATGGTTTGCACCTGGCTTCCTCAAGGTGACCCAAACCCATTTAGAATATCAGTCCCTGATCTTTATGCTGAGGGTGTGGCTGCATTTGTTGAGCCTTTTGTCTTGAGACCTGGCCAAGGCGAGACGTCTCTCCCCTCCAAGGTCACATGGTACCTGGCCCTCTGCACTGGCTCCTTCTTGGGCCCAGCCCTGTCTGACTGCCTGTGACATTGCTAACAAACTCAGCTGCCTGCATCCTCCCAAGGGAGAGAGGAGTGACCCTCCCTGCTCAGATGACATTGTCCATAAACATCTGTCCCCTGAGAAGCAGGGTCCTTGCCCCCATTTTCCCTCTAGACAGGAGCTTTCTTTCCCTCCATGAGGTTTCCTCCTCAGCCACTGTTGGTCCTAAAGTCCATTCCTACTCTGCAGAGAATAGGAACCCGGCCCATCAGGCGGGCCTCTCTCAGGTCACAGCGTTTACCTGTGTCACCTTCGCAGGTTCTGAGGTCATCCCTGTACCCTAGGATCAGCTGAGGCTGCTTGAGGGCAAGAAATGAAAAGGAAGGGGGCCTGGCACCTGGCTCTGCACAGATGCTGGTACGAGGTCCTGAGTTCAATTCCTGGTACCAAAAAAAAAAGTTTCCGTTTTTAAAAAAACAGTAAGTAAAATAAAAAATATTGTTGAGTGGGGTCCCTTCCTTGTTTGCGGAAGGTTCCCGACTGATCCGGAATCAGGCACTGGATTATCACCAGGGCAAGAGAACTCAGGGGAAGCCCTCCTGACTTCCCCTTTTACTGGGGACTCCTGGCGTGGCTCGGGTGCCACCTATGCTACCAGCTACCGAAATATGGCTCCTTGCCTGCCACCGCTCCCATCCCTGTAATAGTCCTGGGCACACCTGCCAGGCACGACAAGGCCCTGGCTCCCCTCCTTAGCACCATCAGGAAAAGTTAGTTCTCTGATGCAGGTGTGGTGGTGCACACCTGTCATCCCAGCACTTGAGAGGCTGAGGCAAGAGGACAGCCACAAGTTCAAGGCCAGCCTGGACTTCATAGCGAGACCATGTCTCAACCCCTCTCCCTAAATTATTCTTCCTGTCTAGTGGCACCCCTACAGCTGAGAGTATTCCCCCACTCTTAATCTTCACTTTCCTTACATCTTATGTAACTGTTGTTTAACACAGCTTTCAACTGAACATAACCAAAGCCGTGTTTGTTGCCTTGAAATTTTTGGTGTTCACTTTTTAAAATATTTTTGAGATAGGGTCTCCCTATGCAGTTCAAGCTGGCCTTGAGCTCACTTTGTAGCCCAGGCTGGTCTCGAACTTGCAAATGATTCTCCTGCTCCAGCTTCCCAAGTGCTGGGATCACAGGTGTGTGCCATCACGCCCAGCTTAAAAATTTGTTTGTCCTCTTGTTTGTTTGTTTTTTTCTTGGTACTCATAACCTTGTGCTCACCAGGCATGCGATTATGCCACTGAGCTATATTCCTGGCCCAAAAATGTGTTTGTAAAACTGCTCAGCTTTCTTATCCCAGATCTCGGTCATCTGGAGTGTATTTCCCCTCACAGTGTCTCTGTCCACTCGAATGCATGCTCGGCGGGGAAAGGGACTGTGCTGCGCATACCATGCAGGGATTTGAGCTTCTCCCCCTGGGCTCAGACCCGGAGCAGAGCACTGGACAGGGCACCAAAAAGGCAGCGAAGCTGAAGAGGGAAGGAGGTGCAGCGGGGAAGAGGAGAGCGGCCCCAGGGTACGGGGAGGGGTCCACTGTGTCCAGGGTTCCTGGCTCGGTCCCAGTGCTCATGAGGCCTCGGGCAGCGGTCCCATCAAACTCCCACAGACCCAGGCCCTGTGCAGACCGCCCCAAGAGAAACCAGCTCCGCCTCCTGCTGTATGTAAATGAAGGACCTGGATCAGCGGCTTTCATTGGTTGTGCCCATATGCAAATAAAGGTTTGAAAAGACCGTCTTCTGATTGGTCCTGTGGACAGCGCCAGATTCAAAATGATAAATTGAAAAGAGGCAAGTTTCTGATTGGTTCTGGGTACAGTGCTCCCAGGGTCACTTAAGGCAATCCCTCTGCTGTCCCTGTCCTACGCTGCTGGGGGAAATGACCCCATAGCCATGGTACCCCAGCAGTTCTGCCTGGTTTATTTTTATTTATTAATTTATTTTTGGTATTTTTGAGACGGTCTCGCTATGCAGTTCAGGCTGGCCTTGACCCCACAATGATCCTCCTGCGTCAGCCTCCCGAGTGCTGGGATGATAGGCGTGGGCCACCCCACCTGGCTTCCCACCTAGTTTAGAGCTTAAACCGACCTCTCGATAGCCCTGTTTGAATACCACATATCCTGCCTTTTGGGGGTAGAACTCAGCAGGAAGCCCAATCAGCAAGCCTAGATTCTTCTTGTCTTTGAGGAACGGTTTCAGACCAGGCACGGGCCATCCTGGAACACACAGGCAGAGCTTATTGCAAAATAACCGATTTTCAGACAGAGTTGGGGAAAGAGACAGCAAACTCCTCCAGCCCCGATAGGGGATCCCAAATTTATTTGATTGACTGGGTCTTTTATGGTGCCCTTCTAGTCTCCGAGGACATCTACAAGGTCATAGTCACTGCGGATACCTGGGCGGTGCCCAGGCTATATTCCCCAGAACAGGACATTAGGGCCAAGGTCTGAGCCCTCAGGCTGCTGTGCACTATCCGCAGATGGTGATCAGAAATGAAGGGGCGTGGCTGGGGATTTAGCTCAGCGGCATGGCATAAGCCCCTGCCTTGCAAGCAGGCGATCTGAGTTCGATCCCTGGTACCGATAAAAAAAAAAAAAAAAAAAAAAATGAGAACACTGTCACCAACTCTGCATTTCGAGTTGCTCCAGCCGCCTGTCTGCTTCTGCAGCCTGCTGGGTTTACTATCTCCCTTTCAGAAGCACTGCAGACACTCAAGCTGGGCGTGGATATGCAGGCCTCTCACCCCAGCACTCTGGAGGCTGAGGTGGGGAGGTGCACTGTGAGTTCAAGGCCAGCCTCAATTTCATAGTGAGACCCTGTTGTCAAAAATAAGTAAGTGCAGCTGCCCTGCAGATGGGGTACTGGACCTGCTAGCATCATGGGCACAGCCACTCCTCTGTTCCTGTGACTTTGGGGCAAAGAGCAACTAGCTATTTCTGCACTCAGTGTTCGGGGATCAGTGAGCGCTGAGAATGGGTTATAGCCTGACATTCCGGGAAAAAATAAAAATAAAAATAAATAAATAAATAAGTGCAGTCTCCGGGCCCCTGAGGCCTGTCCATGTTCTGCTTGAGCCTCTAAAGGTACAGATCTGGGAGCTGGGAGCGAGAGAAGCATACTCCGTGCAGGGGTCTCAAACCCTGGGATGATGGTCTGGGCTGTGCACCCCCTCTTACAGGAGCTGGCCGGACTTATCACCAGCGTGGGATGAGGGCCAAAAAAAAGGTTCTAAGATAAAAAGCGCTTTCACGACGATGCATGGTGTTTTCTGCCTAAGCACATCCAGGGTCTTATAGCTGTGGGAACCTCCACTTAGCTCACAGACTGGACTGGACACCCCCAAAACAGATATCATCCCCTGGGCAAACTGAGTTCCTCATCCCTGTGCAGAGACCTGTCTCAGACAACAGCCAGGAGCCTTGCTGGGCGTGGTGGCTCACACCTGTAATCCTGCACTCAGGAGGTTAAGGTGGGAGGATCTTTTTGAGTTGGAGACCAGCCTGGGCTACAAAGTGAGCTCAAGGCCAGCCTGCACTGCATAGTGAGACCCCATCTCAAAAAAGACAAAAATAGGCTGGTCCGATGGCAGTGGGTTATCAGAACTTATTAACATCAGTGTCACTAAAAGTTGGTATACCACCCCTCCACTGCTAAATTTGACTGGCTTTAAAAATAAATAAATAAATTTTTTTTAAAAAGACAAAAAAAAAAAAAAAAAAAAAAACCAGCCAGGAGCCTCAGCCCCTGAACCCCAACTGGGAGGCTTTGGAATCTCCCCAGACTGGGGAAGGGAGTGGCAGTGGGGCGTCTCCACTATGTCCTGCAACAGCACTCAGAAAAAGCATCTGAGGGGCTTAGAAAGATTTTCTGTTCCCTCCCAGGCTTACAAAAGGGAGTAGAGTCCCCCCAGATCCCGAGGTGTCCCTCCAAATCACTGTACCCCAGATTTATTCACCAAAAGAAGGTAGGCCCCTGCATTTTCCTTGGGAGGAACACTGTTTCCATGCCCACAGGTCAGGTTTCAGCCATCAGACCATCAGGGTCACCAGGGCCAGGCCGCCAGGCTTCAAGAGGGCAGGTTGGCTTCATTGTGGGTCAGGGCAGGGTCTTCTTCTAATCTGGCCGGACATCCTGGCTTCTCCCTGCCCTGGCCCCAGAGAATCCCAAGCTGACCTGGGGCAGGCATCAGAGATCAGGGCTGTGGATAGAGCTCAACGGCATAAGCTCCTGCCCAGCAAGGGCAAGGTTCTGAGTTCAATTCCTGGTATTAAAAAAAAAATAAAGATCAGGGCTGGGGATTTAGCTCAGAGGCATAAGCAGTCACAAGTTCGTTCTCCCATACCGATAAAAAAGAAAAAGACCAAAAAAAAAAAAAAAAAAATCATCAGTTCCTAGCAGCTGGTGGCCTCTCTGGGCTCTGGTACTCTGTCATGTCCCCACCAACCCAGCTCTTCTTCCTCTTCATTTTTTTTTGGTCTCTTTGCTAGGACACCTATGCAGCCCCCACTCACACCTGAAGAAGTCCTGAGAAACTGCACCCCCTTACCCCTCTTCTTTATCTATAACACAACAGATGATATCATCAGGTCTCGGGACAGATCCCACCCGACTAGGAGAGAAAACTCTGCAAGCAGATATGTTATTCACACCTTGGGGAGCAGGGGGTTCAACAGGAAGCCAGCAGCTGTTTTCATGCAGCTCAGCCTGCAGAGAGCCAAGTCCACAAAAAACCACAAGAAATGTGCTGTGCCTGCCCCCATACCATCCTGTGTATCACCTAGCCCTAGACCCCCTACTTGGAGACCCACAGTTTTGCACCCCCTTCAGCAATGCCCCTGTCCCTAAGCTCCCCTAGAGAACAAGCCCTCACCCCCTGCTTGGCTTGGATGCACCTGGTCTGCGATAAAGTCCCCACACATTGTGTAAACTCTGCCTGTCTCGGTGATCTCAACCGGGTCTCAGTTTACCCTAATTGCACATTTAAAGAAACATACTGAGAAGGGGGAAAAGTAAAAATGATGCAGATGCATGGTATATGTTGCAGTTCCCAGAGATGGAGGTCATTGTTATGGATTGCAAACACCTAGCACCAATAAGGAGACTGAAACAGAAAAGAAAGAAAAGCCGTTTCTTCCACCTCAGAACTACAGCTCTGAGGCCATCTTTGCCTCTTTTCCCTCTCTCACCTCTCACCTCATTGTCCCTTTGTCCTTCTAATTCTACTTTATAAAACCTTCACATTTATCATTATTTTTGGCTTTTTGAGACAGGATCTCAAAGTCCCTGAGTTATCCAGGCTGGGCTCAAACTTGCCATCCTCCTGTCTCAGCCTCCTGGGGTGCCAGAATCCCTGACCCTTCCTGCCTGCTCTCTCTCTGGTTCCCTGTGTGTCTATGCAGCATTTAAATCCTCATCTGGCTCTGCCTCCTACAGAGTCTGTTTCTCTAGGACCCTGGTGAACTAGCGGAGGCCCCTAGACAGACACTTTAGGATCAGGCTCCATCTTCTCATCCCTTGCTGTTCTGAGACAGGGTCCAGCCGTGGAGCCCAGACTGGCCTGCAGGTCACCAGAGTCCTCCTGTCTCAGCCTGCAGAGCACTGAGATCACAGACTGGACACACACCCAGCTCCTGACACCAGCTAGTGGCTGGGTCTCTGCTGAGCAGGATGGGGCCTGGGGGCATAGTGTGGGTGACCAACCATGGGGTGGCAGGCAGGGGCTGTGTTGAAGCACGGCTGGCCGGGTGGGCTATGAGTCTTTCCAGGTGATAAGGGATTGGATTTTGGAGCCAGAGGGAGGTGAGAGTGAATGTCAGTTGTCAGCTTGTATTGTTGTTTTGTTTTGTTTCACTGAGACAAGGTCTTACTAGGTATAGCTCAGGCTGGCCTCAAACTCATGGTGATCCTCCTGTCTCAGCCTCCCAGGGATTAGGATTACATGTGTAGTCCACCAGGCCTGGCATTAAATGGGTTCTTTCTATGTTGCTTAGGCTAGCCTTGAATTTAAGAATCTCCCACCGCCGCTTCCCAGGTTTACAGATGGGAGATGCCTGGCCTGACTCTGTTTTAGATTTTTTTTTTTTTTTTTGGTTGCAGGAATAGAACTCAGGACTTTACCAGGCAGGCGCTGTGCCCCTGAGCTACACGCCCAGCTATTTTAGGGTTTGTGATACTCACCTTTCTCTTCCAAGATCTTTTCCCAATTGCACACAGCTTTCCTTAACGTAGATCCTGGTGTTGGTTGTGAAAACACCCCAAAAATGCTGACCTTCTGAAATTTATCTCCCCACATGCCTACGCACGGTGTCATCTGTGTCTGTCTGCGGCATTACTGGAGACTAAACCCCAGGTTTTTAGGCTGAGCTGTATCCCCACACTCCTTACCTTTTTTCTCCTGAGACAGGGTCTCACCAAATCAAATTACCTGGGCTGGGCTCAAACCTGCCATCCTCCCGCCTCAGGCTCCCAGAGTGCAGGGGTCACAAACTTGCACCACCATGCCCCGTTTTTCACTTATTAATGCAGAAGCTTTCATAATGAACACATGGCATTTTTATAGTCAGAGACTCACATTTGCTTTTATTTTATGTTTTTTAGTCTCACATTTCTTGTCCAGGAGCATTTTCAGTGTTTCCTGAATGGACTCCTGGGACAATGGGCTGTTTTTGCTGTCCCCTTTCCCCTGCTTGTCTTTAGATTAAAGGGGTCCAGGGGTCGACCCTGCGCAGCCCCTTCCTCCCAGGAGAGAGGACCCCGGACAGGGCATTCTCAGCTGGGCAGAGGCAGAGCTGAGTCTGCATCCCTGGCAGGAGTGGGGTGACCGCCCTCTTGAGGCCCACATGATGCCTCCTGCCCCTGGGCCCTCCCTGCTGGCCGGGCTCCCTGGTCCCTGCATTCCAGGCTTGGCCTCCACCCAAGCCATAGTCACAGCTCCCTAGGACCTGCCACGAGAGGGGATCGGCCAGGCACAGGGACAGGGAATCAGAGGGGTGGGCAGTGTGGTCCAAGGACACCCACGAGGGCGGGAGTGAAAGCTGTGTTTCCCAACCTCCACTTCCCCTTCCTTGGAGGGGGCCCCGTGGCCCATGCTGCCTGCCCAGGTCCTGGCTGCCTGTGTGCCTGCCTGGAGGAGCTGTAGAGCTTCAAGCTCTTCGCACCTCCCTGGAGCATGTGCAGGTAACCAGAGCCCTGGACATGGCTGAGCTGCTAGTGACCCACCTGGGCTCCTGCCAGGCTCCCTGCATCGAATCTTCGAGCAGAACTGTAAGAGGGACCTGTGGGAGAGAGGACAGACAAAGGACATGGGCAGGGGTAAAGACACATGGAGGAGACCAGATCAGGACCCACTGTGCCCTGGAGACCCAGGTCCTCACACTGTCCTCCTGGTCTGGAGTCCCACTATCCTCTAGGGCTCTTTGTTTTTGCTTTGAGACAGGGTCTCACTATGTAATCCAGATTATCCTCCTGCCTCAGCCTCCCAAGTGCTGGGATGAGATATGTGCCACCATTCCCCCTCTCCCCCAGGCATGGCCAGTGTTTGCTGCTCTTGGTCTCTGTCTCCATTCCAGTCACTCTGGGTTAGCTGTGCCAGCCTCATTCTCATCTCCCTCCTTCCCAGAACCTGCATACCAGGCCCCTGGACAACTCTCAGTGTCCCCACTGCAGTCAGCACACACAGTCACCCACCACCCACACCGCTGCCTATCCTGGGGTACCTGCAGTAGCCTCCACGTCCCTCTCTTTCTGCAGTATGGTTCCACTCGGCTCCCAGATCTTTTATTTGCAGTTGGAGACAGGGTCTTGCTGAGTTCCCAGGTTGGGTTTGAAATGGTATCAGACTGGAGATCCTCCTGCCTCAGCTTACCAAAGTATTGGAGTTAACGCATCTCTGAGGCAACTGTCGTCATGCCTGGCAGCATCATGGGTTTGTGTTTTGGTGCCATTAAATACAAGAAGGGCCACGTGACTGAGGGCTGCTGTAGTCACTGGGCTG